CAAATGTGTATTCGATTTGCACGATAGCGCTGAGAAAACAAAAACGAATCCACATGAAACTTATATTGATACAAAAACTGAACGAACTTATTTACCAACTCAATACCAAATTTCCGAAAGTAACGGACGCCCCCCTACCTCAGAATCTATACATTATAGGGAAAAATGATCCGAACAAAAGTTTTAGGGTTCATAAAATTCTGTTTTTTGTGACCTCAAATTTGACCTTGACCTCAACCTTGAATATCACTTGAAGGTCAACTTGCGTTTCTTAAATGGGAACCCCTATTTTTTATTACACTGCTTTTTTCTATCAATTAATTTGAACAACTGTTATCTAAAACATTTTTTTGTCTAATATTTTTTGAGATATTTGGAGATATTTATGAGGAAAACTTGATAACTTTTTCAATATTTAACTTACAATATCTCGCAATTTGTCGAAAAAAAAGTGGTACTAGACTTTCTTGTTTTATTTAATCTCAAGAGTATATTGTTACCTGTATAAATAGTGTCCTGATTTCTGTTAATTTGGTTTTGAAATTTTCAAAAGTCGGTAAGTTAACAAAAATCAGGGCGCTATTATAACGATATTCTTGAGATTAAATAGAGTAGGAAAGTCTAGTCCCACTTTTTCTTTCGACAAATAATTAGCGAGATATCGTAAGTTAAATATTGAAAAAGTTATCAAGTTTTCCTCAAGTATCTCAAAAAATATTAGGCAAATAAAAAAATGTTTTAGACAAAAGTTGTTCAAATTAATTGGTAGAAAAAAACAGTATAATGAGAAATAGGGATTCCTATTTAAAATGCCTATTTAAAATCCTATTTGAAACGCAAGTTGACCTTCAAATGATCTTCAAGTCGAGGTTAAGGTCAAATTTGAGATCACAAGAAAACAGAACTTTATGAACCCTAAAACTTTTGTTGGGGTCATTTTTCGTTATAATGCATAGATTTTAAGATAGGTGGGGGAGGGGGGTTCGTTACTTTTGGAAAACGGTTATATAGGATGTCCCATTTTAAAGTTTCCACTAAAATATCTCTTTAGGAAAACATTTAAGAAAAAAATGTCTCAGACAAAAATTACTTGATTTGGAGAGGGACATAAGATAGCGATATCATTTTGTTTATAACTGGTGCCATTTTCGAGATATTCACTAATCATCAATTTTTTTAGTGGAAATTCCAATTTTTTATTATATCATCCTTTTCCACCAATTAATTTGAACAACTTTTATGTGAAACATTTTTTTATGTTATGTGTATATGTGTAAGTTATTTGACAAAGTTGTAGAGGTCATGAAATACTATCTTTTGGTGACCTTGAAATTTATCTTGAATTTGACTTTGAGGGTCATTTGAATGTCAACTCGAAATTTTCAAATGGGAACCCTAATTTTTATTACACCATTTTTTTTCTTTTTTGATATTTGCTGTATTACGTGGAATACCTAAATTTCTTTTAATTTCTCTTAAACTTATATGAGGATTAATGGCGACCATTCCTAGAACTTGGGAACTCGAAGATCATCATTATGAGCTGGATCTCTCCGTGATCTTATTCTTCTGAAAGCAAGCTTATGCATTCTTATTTCCATAGAACATATTATAGAATACGATGGATGATAGTTCCGTTCAGGATATCTTTCCTGATATAAGCGAAAAGCTGTTCAATAACTCCAAGAATAAGAGAAATGTCCAAAATTTCATTTGATTAATAAATTGGCATTTTAATTTAATTCTAAACATTAAATGCTATGTTGCTAATCTGTTCCTCTATCCATTTACCGTTTATAAAGTTTATAACGTATGATTACGTACGATGTAACTCAGTGATGCTAGAATGAGGTAGTGTATCTTGGAGAGTCGCGTAGTGCCACCAATCAAATTGCTTTAAGATAGTGGATTAACTTAATTTTCACCTATTAATTTTCGAGTCTCATAACTTAGAAGGTAGTTAATAAAAAATATTTTATTACAGTATTTTGAAAAAGTCTCGAAGTCAGCTGTAAGAATATGACATGAAAAATAGGGGATTCCATTTAAAAAATTTAAAGTGACCTTAACTTCACCTGCCTCGGGCCCGCCTCCGTCGGAAAGGGGGGAATAGGGACTAAATCCTCGCTCCCCCTAGCCATCGGACAGGTAGGGTAAGGGGGGGGGGAATAGTAATCCCAGGTGGGGCTGGGCCCACTCCCAAAAATCCCCCCTCGATTTAAGTGGTGGGAGGAAGGGTGGATGTCCTTTGGCCAGGAAACTGGCCAGTTGGCCTTCTGGTTTCACCTAAGGGACCGCATCTCCCACTATTTTCCTCGGTGAGGAAAAGAGCGGTACTAGAGGCGAGGGGCTCCCGGAGAGCCCTGGGGCCGGGATGTCGGGGAGGGAATACGGGAGTAGTTCCCCTAACTCCCCCTACCACGGTCCGAATGGTAGACATCCCGCAGGGGTTTTAGCCGGTAAGAGTCCGGCATAACCTCCGACCCCCCAAAGGTCGAGGGTATCCATGAGGATTTCCCCTGCGTGAACAAAAAAAAACCTTAACTTCACCTTGAGACAATCACTCAAGGTCAAGTTCATATTTTCATCATGTAGCCTCTTTGAAACCATACAACTTTTGTCTAAAACATTTTTATCGGGTTCAATTTTCGAGATATATTCGGACTGACTGTTTTTTTTTTAAATGGGACATCCTGTATATACAGGATGTCAGGTAATTAGCTGCCAATCCGAAATATGAAGGTAGACTGGGTTAAGCTAAAAAGAAAAGTAAAATACAGTTTTACAAGAATCGCAATAATTATCGAGTTATTAATGATAGAAATTTTAGGAGTGGGGACACGCCGACAAGATGATGATTGGAGAAGCGTTGCAGTCGCTTGGGACACAGCGCAGCTTAGTCGATCCAACAACTGTTGCCAGTGCGCGGCGAGATTCCCCTTTGTCTTTCCAGACGCGCCTTTATTCGTGTTTTATTTCACCGCACCTACGTCTCACCGCATGCCGCCAACAGTTGTTAGGTCGACAGGGCCGTGCTATGGTCCGAGAGGTTGTGACGCTCCTCCAATCATCCATCTCGGCGCGTGTTCATTCATCAGATTTTTGTCATTAATAACTCGATAATTATTGCGATTTTTGCAAAATTGTACTCTACTTTTCTTTTCAGCTTAACCCAATCTACCCTCACGCTTCGGGTTGGCAGCTAATTACCGGACACCCTGTATAACTCAATAACCTTACGAAAATTATCTTCTTCTGTTATAACCTCTGTTAGTATTTTAATAAACAGTAACCAGCTAAATTTCTTTTAAGATTATTTTGATTATTACGCAAGACAATAAACATGACAACATATGTCATGATCAAGACTATTGAAGCTGAGTTTACTAGTTTTACTTAATTAAAATATTTATTATTCCTCAACAAATATCCAAAAACTGTCTTATTGAAATGCTATATAAAATTTATTAAAAACAAAATGTTGCAACCTTTTTTCCACTAATTATATATATTTTCACTTTTTTATATCTTGCATGCTTATTATTCTGCACGTAGTCAGAACTCAAACGTATTCCAAAATCCTCACTTGTTTTTAATATTGCCTGTTTGCTTCTGTTTAGGTAACTTCGCGATTATAAATTTTTCGACAAATACTCGTTTTCTGCACATCAGCAGAAGATCCTTTGATTTTCGAAATGATAATTTCCGTAATATATAATGTGCATGTAAATATGCGTGCATGTTTGTATGGATTAATTGTATACGATTTAAAAAAAAAGCAAATGTAAATAATCTTTTGGGAAATGTATGTAAAATGAAATTTCGGAAAGTAAGATATATCTTCGAGCTATATGGGCGTTATATATACAACAATCTCTGGGTATTAAAAGTTATTAGAAGAATATCTTGAAAACAGATCAGTCGATATTATTTCATGAATCGATGATAACAGTTCTCTGAGTATCTAATACACAAATATGAACATCTACAACATTTTCGTTTATTGCCAAGATATTATAATATAACATTGATTATTTTATTTACAAGACATTATATTAATCATCAAAATTAATCTCAAGATTCTACTCGATGATCACGATTGAATTTTAATCAATCTAATCGCGTACTCGCGTCGCAAAGACTCGTGCTAGTAATTTATTAACAGCAACAAATTTACTACAAATTTAAAATATTTACAATTATTATCTTCCCGCCATGATTTAAAGTAAAATGTTTGTCGACCATGTTATCTCACAACATTGCCTCGGCCACTACAGTCTTCATAGTTCTAACCGTTAAAAATTCGCTATCCTAATCTCTCTTTCTCTCTCTCTCTCTCTCCCTCTCTCTCTCTCTCTCTCTCTCTCTCTCTTTCTTTCTTCTCCTTTTTATACAGAATTTTACTGCTGCGCTCGACGAGATCGCAAAAGGTCTAAGCGCATTTTCTTCTCACGCAGGAGAACATTTCTCAAACTATGTTCATAAACCGATTAGTAATTATAGAAATTGATAGATTTCTTTTGCTACACTTAACATTACACTGAAAACTATCAAGAGATCATCAAGACTGTCCGAGATGTTTAACTACAATGCGCTCGTGAAATTGCGTAAAATCTTTTTACTCTGTCCGTCCACAAGAATTTCTGCACTTAACAGACCGATTTATAAGTATTCCTCATAAATATCTTTTATCCACACGTTCCAATTGTACATTGTATCGAAGTGCTTTTTGCATTCCCCTCATACGATGTGTGTATGAATGTGATCGTCACACGAATTCCCTGAAAGTTCCCCGAATTGTAAGGATAGAATAATACATTTTAAACACGAGCGCATCCGGTTACAATTTTCACCACAGCGTTGTTGCAAAGCATTTCTTCCTTCTCCTCCCTCTTTCTTTCTTTCTTTTCCTTTCGCTTAGGAACGTTTAAAAACCATCGAATCTTGAATGCGAATCCGAGTCATCAACTCCTCTGACTACCATGTTCAGTCTCTTCGTGTTTCAGATGCCATATTATTGTGCATCAAGTCATGTCATCGAATCGGGCGAACGCGTAACCCTAACAACCATCAGTAGAACATTGGCGACCAATCGGTGTGTCGGCTGCTCTCACTAGCGGTGATCGGTATATAGCTGGTTGGCGACGAACCCGGCAGGCACTGGAAGCAATAATTGGCCCCGCCGTTGTTGTCCCAGTATTGTGCGCCCTTACATTGGAATCGCACGGCGAACTCTAGCCGCTGGCCAATCGATAAAGTGTGGCAATACAGAACAAAAGAGAACTTGTCGCTAAAACCGTCGCACGAATTTGGCACATAGATGGCTTGCAGGTCGCTGAAATTCCGCCAAGAGTTTAGGGTGTAACGTATGTGCACGGATTTATGGAAATCGAGATTGATGACGCGTACCGTACCCTGAATCGCCAGAGTCACTGGATTTTGAACCAGCACATTTTCTAAGCAGACTCGCCGCTCTCGCACCAGATCCAAAAAATTCGCTATGCCTCCCGGCTGCTGAAACAATGGCACCAGCATCCGTTCTACCGTCTTGGAAAACGTTGACATAGAACCGCGTCTATTATCATTCAAGTAACAGTCAGTCCAACCGTTACTGCCAGATGATATATCGTTGCTCATCGGACTACTGTCCTTCTGGAAGAAATCGTCTTTTTGGAAAACTAAGTCGCTGTATGCAGAATTTGGTATCCTCGGTATCTCGTCTAAGAAAGTCCTCACGGCAGCCAGATCAAGGCCAAGCACATCCGCGAATCGAACGATTTTCTTCCTGCCTGGTGTGCCGGGCGGTGTTTTACCGGTTTTCAGAGAGGAACATCTGCGTATACGCTGCGGCCTTTCCTCCTCTTCTTCTATTACCTCATTTTGACTCTCCTGTTCAAACGAGGAAGATTCCTCTTCCTTTTCCTTCGTACTAGGACTACTGAACTTGGTTAATAACAGGCGCATTTTAGCGTCGTCCTCGTTGTCTTCACTACTGTTTGATTGCACAATGTCGTCAATTCGTAACTCTACCTCATTTTTCAGATTCGAATTCTCGACTATCTGATTGTCTGTTGGGGTTAATACAACTGGAATATTGATAGTATTAGAGTAAGTAGAGGGATCTGTATCGATGTCGCTGGAGATTATGTCGTCTCCCTTCAACTGCAATGAACATTCGGATGGCGCCATCTTTGAATTCATAAATTCTGCTTCTTCTTTCATATCGAGAGAATTTTCAGTATCGTTATGGACATCATCCTTAGCTACGAAGTTTTTGACGTTTTTGAGCAGTTCTACTGATGCGACACAAATAAAATCAACCTCGTCCATAGACATGTTCTCGTCTTCCTCATGCCACCTATCAAGCTTGTTGGACATCACTACGTTGGAGCCATTGTTTGGTAACTCCGAATCGGAATGCGACTTAGGCAGACAAACGTGCGGAATCACTTGTTCAGACTGACTGGTTCGGACTGACAAGCTCTCATCCTGCAATGACACCGTGCTGTCGTCGAATGTACTCCACAGGGACTCGTGACTAGGCGATGTCGTTTCTTGCGAACTCCGGCCATTTAGTGAGTCCTCCGAGCTGCAAACCAACTCCTCCCGCGGACGGCCGTTTTCGCAGGACATAGGATTCCTTCGAGAGGAGCAGCTTTCGGACTCGGATGTATCTTCACAGACCCGTTCTGTATTCTTGTCCGACCGTCTGCAACTCATCATGACTTTGGCCTTCGTAGGAACGGAACAATTAGAGAGATTCGATATAACTTCGCTGTCTGAAGTGGTAGTGATAGGGTCGAAATAAACTTCACTCTTCAGCTTCTCCATATCAGAGGACTCCATATCAAAGAACATGTCGGAGGAGTCGCTATCAGGCGGTGTGCCGTTGATTGGCGACACATACACGCAGCCGGTCTCGGCATCCTGATGGGAGCCCGGAGCGAACATGACTTTGGTTCTGCTCGTTGAACAATGACAAGCGTCGTGATGGTTAGCCTTAAGGATTTCCGGGTTCATTAATAAGTGAGCCAGTTCAGCAGCTGTTGCTTCCTCGGCTGGTGAGCCCGTCCATTTTCCACCTCGACATCAAAATCGTAGAAGAGATCCGATTCTGGACTGTGACGTGGCTGACGCTGGAGGACATGATTGGGAGTTCCGTTACTAGTGCTCATCACGGTACGGTTGCCGGACGACGACGGATGTAGCCATGAAGTCTCGCATGGCTGCTTGTCGATATCTACGTTCCGCTCAGGTGAACCGTTCTCACTACCCAATGATGTCAGCCGACGATGAAGACGTCTGGCGAATGCCTCTGCGCGACCACGGCAGCTACTAGGAAAAAGTGAACTGACGAGGCCGCAGGAAGGCCCACCATTGCTACCGCGACCATTGCCAGCCGAGTCTGTGCTGCTCATTTTGAGAGCAGCAGTGTTGGATGTTTCAGCAACGGCGTGCCTGTCCTCCGACGGTGAAGGCGGGAGCGAGGTCAAGCTACTGCCTTGGCTTGCCGGCCCGCGACCCGAGCTACTACTCTGAAAACAAAGAGAATAGTTACGTTGAGTACTCTATCTTTTCAATAAAGTTTTTATTAACTAGAAGCTTGATTGTCATTCCTTAACAAAAAATAATTATAAATGATTATGATTATGAATTTTATTTCTATATGGCCATGTATACACATACGTAATTATACAGGTGAGATTTAATCTTAACAGGCAAATACTTCGAAAATGTGCAAATTTACAAAAAATGTTTCAAATAAAAATTGTATGGTTTAAAGAGGGATATACAATGGTGCCTTTGATTTGACCTCGAAACTTGCATATTTAAAGTTAGATAAAGGTGAATTTAATTTTTCAATTGAAAACCCATATTTTCTATTACATTTTCGGATAGAGCGAATATAAACAAATATTTTTAGTATCTTGATAATTTTTCATAAATTCAATAATTTTCAAAATATTTAGAATCAAAGTATAAAAATTGTACAGCCGACTCTTAATTGCATAAACCGCTCTTAGTACTATCTAGAATCAATGATGTAGACGTAATTTGATCCCTTTTGGGATGCTTGATTTTTGTAAGTCCCCTTGTCTCTCACGATATATATAAATTTATAACATTTGTTCGAAGGTACCATCATTCACTTCAATATACATATATTTAAGATAGTCCGTTTCTCAATTGTCTGTCGCTTTTTAATAATCTTCTTTTTCTACGCAAAATTGCCTAATTTGAGACATATATAGTCACCGCTATGTAAGGGATGTAGTGGGGACATTCCTACTACATCCGCACTTCAATCCCGCTATGGCGACGAGACAATTTTTATTCTTTGAATCCAAATATCTCGAAAATCCTTTGAATCCAAATATCTATTGAATTTATTAAAAATTATCAAGATACCAAAAATATTTACTTAAATCCGCTCTATCTGAAAATGTAATAAAAAATATGGGTTTCCATTTAAAAAAATTAAATTGACCTTCATCTAACCTTAAATACACGTTTCAAAGTCAAACTAAGGACACCATTACCCCCCTTTAAGCTATATAACTTTTATTTGAAAAATTTTTTTATTTCAAAAATTATACATTTTTGAAATATTTGCCTGTTAAGATTAAAAAGACTCACCCTGTATATGTGTAATTATACAAACATATGTAATATGTTAAAAAAATGTTGTTATAAATAATTTGCAATTAAAATAGCAATTAAAATAATTGCTTGTGTTTATAGCTCATGATGTAGATATAAAATTGAATAAAACAATTCATTCTTTTCTTCATTTAACAGCATTTTTTCAGTGTGAATATGCAGTGTGCCCTATTTTAAAAAACACCTCGATAATTCTTCAACGAAGCATTTTCACCAAAAATGTTTTGAACAAAAGTTGTATGATTTCAACAGGGCTATAAAACAGCTATACTATTTTGTTTACAAATGGCACCACTTTCGAGACATTCACTAATAATTACTTTTCATAAACGGAAACCCCAATTTTTTATCACACCGTCTTTTTTTACTAATTAATTTAAACAACTTTTGTCTAAAACATTTTTTTATTTGCCTAATATCTTTTCAGATATTTAAGGAAAACTTGATAACTTTTTCAATATTATTTCACGATATCTGGCTAACTATTTGCCGGAAGAAAAAGTGGTACTAGACTTTTTGTTCTACTTGGTCACAAAAATATATTGTTACAATAGCATTCAGACTTTTATTAATTTGATGATTTTGAAATTTCCAAAAGTCAGTAAGTTAACAAAAGTCAAGGCACTATTATAACAATATATCCTTGCGATTAGATAGAGCAAAAAAGTCTAGTACCACTTTTTCATCCGACAAATAGCGAGATATCATGAGTTAAATATTGAAGAACTTATCAAGTTTTTCTTAAGTATCTCAAAAAATATTAGGCAAATAAAAAAATGTTTCAGACAAAAGTTGTTTAAATTAATTGGTAGAAAAAGACGGTGTATTAGAAAATTGGGGTTTCCATTTAAGAAAAGTAACTATCAGTAAATATCTTGGAAGTGGTGCCATTTGTAAACAAAATAGTATGGTTGTTTTATGTCACCCTTGAAATCATATAACTTTTGTGCGAAACATTTTTGCTGAAAATGCTTCATTGAAAAATGATCGATGTGCGTGTTTTAAAATGGGACACTGTGTATATATATGCAGGAACTATTGGGTTGGCAAATAATAAATTTGCCCGGTTTTTGTTTCAGTGTTCATGCAGTGTTCAAGTTTCATGCGGAATCGTTTTTCTTTTCTCAGCGCTATCGTGCAAATCGAATACACATTTGAAAGGTTATGTTTCACTGTTTATGTTATGCTGTGTTTGGTTTGGCTAACATCAGTATTGTATGTGCTGCGTAGGTGTGATTATGGAAATTAATAACGTGCATTATCGTTACATTTTGCTTTATTATTTTAAAAAAGGCAAACGAGCTGCGGATGCTCATAAAAAGATATGCCGTATGTATGGAGCTGATGTTTTAACAGAACGCATATGCCAAAAGTGATATGTCAATTTCCGTTCTGGAGATTTCGACGAATGATGCGCCCCGCTCTGGTCGCCCGACCGAGATTAATTCAAGTGATATTAACGCTATCAAGTGATATTAAGGCATTGAAGTAATCGAAGTAAATTCATCCCAATCGGTACGAGAGATTGCTACGACATTGAATATATCCCACACAAGCGTAGAAAAGTATTTGCGCCAGCTGGGGTACGTTTCTCGGCTTAATGTTTGGGTGCCGCATCAATTAACCGAGGCTAATTTGACCACATCCATCTGCATATCCATCTGCGATTCGCTACGGAAACGCCAAGAAAACGACCCATTTTTTAAACGAATGGTGACAGGAGACAAAAAATGGGTCGTCTACGATAACGCGTAAAAGATCATGGGGGCACAGCAGCAAGCCACTGCAAATAACCTCGAAGGCGGGATTGCATCCGAAGGAAATAATGCTCTCCGTGGGAGAGCACTAATGGTGGGATTTCAAGGGTGTCATCTATTAGAAACTGTTATCGTCAGGCAAGATGATTGATTCAACTGTATACTGTTCGCAATTGACGAAATTGAACCAAGCAATCCGCACAAAACGTCCAGAATTGGCAAAGCGCAAGAGTGTCGTCTTCCACCACGATAACACCAGACCTCATACGTCATTGACGACTCGGAACAAATTGCTTCAGCTTGGCTGGGATGTCTTGCCTTATCCTCCGTATTCACCGAATCTTGCTCCTTCCGATTATCATTTATTCCGGTCGCTGCAGAACTCTATGAACGGGAAAACCTTCAAGGATGAAGAGGCCGTTAAAAACCACCTGGATTGATTTTTCGCCGATAAGTCCCAGACGTTTTACGAACGCGACATAATGAAGTTGGTGGGAAGATGGCTAGAGGTCATCAATAAAGATAGCCAACATATAATTGATTAAAATTTATCTTATATATCAAAAAATTTTGTTTTATTCTACTCTAAAAACCGAACGAACTTATTTGCCAACCCAATATAAAAAGTATCGGAACGGTGAAATATCTCAAAAACTAAGCATTTTAGAAAAAAATGTTTCAAACAAATATTATAAAAATTTTACATGATTTATTTACTGACATTATAAGTTTGACCTTGGGTGGCGTTGCCAAGGTCAGGACAAGGTAACCTTGAATTTTTTAAGTGGGATCCCCTATTTGTTATTGCATATTCTTATGGCTCTTTTTCAGACATTTTCAAAGCACTATAATTTTTTCCACTTTATGTAAGCCGTTTCAAAGTTATCGAGCTTTTTATAATAAGATGTCCAACAAGCGGAGCAATTTTATGACTTATATTTCAAACACATGTAATATTAAAAAAAGTAATACTAATGTACTAAATTTATAACAGCACTAAAATTCACCTTCGAATCATTTCCAATCAATTGCGATGAATTTGACTTGAAGTAGAACACATTACTTGTATATGATACGTGTTGTTTCATACGGAAAAGACATGATTTTTCTTTCTCATCTTCTTTCTTTAATTGAATTATCTAATTAACACAAATTTCTGTTTATTGGATAAATCTTTTCGTTTCTTAGCTTATTCGTTAGACTTCACTTTTTCTTCTAGAGATTAACATTATTCTCAAACGCTTTTGTAAGGGTTTCCTCAATTTTTAGTTTGCTTATTTCTGTACATTTTTTTCCATTTAGTTCATTTTAAAGTATTACGATATTTATTCATTCGTTTCAAAATTTCCATCTCGATAATTTTCATTAATTAAAATGCAACTCCTTACCGAACACGATAGAATATTTGTCTTGATAATGAGGGACTGGGATGATAGATTAAGATCATATCAAGATGTAAAGGATCTTTTCAATGTAACTTTTCGAGATGAGAATACTCCTATTTCGAAATCAACTGTTAAAAGAACTGTAAGGCGGTTTGAAGAAACAGGAAGCGTTAAAAGTCGTTTTAAAACAGGAAGGCCTGCCGCAGCAACAAATGAAGAAAAGGCACTTGATGTTTTACAATCATTCGTAGAGAAACTTCTGTCCGCAGAACTGCTTAAGAACATGAGATAAATCCTATGTCTGTACATAAGATATTAAAAAGGAATAAATTTAACCCTTACAAAATATGACTTGTTCATGAGCTAAACGAAGACGATTTTGGTAATTTGATGATTTTGAAATTTTCAAAAGTCAGTAAGTTAACAAAAGTCGGGGCGCTATTATAATAATATATTC